ACTTATAACTCTGAAACCGGTTTTCGATATCCCTAGTTGGCACAGCATAGACAGTCCATTAGGTGGCTTTGTGCTGAATATAAACAAACAACAAGAAAATAAAGTTTTACGAGTCCTCCTTCCTCAGAGGCCTTTTCCTCTCAGGACACATTTCTGTATAATCTCGTTTTCTATTTATTGCTTTTCTTTGAAGGTGTAATAAATATAGGTTTACCTAAAGACTCATTAAGAAAACGGTTTATAAATGACCTTATACTGAACAACAATAAACGTAAATTGTTATAAATGTTAATGTAGTTTATTCATAACTAAGGCAGATTTTTTTCTTTTCTTACAATATACATTTATGAAATTATAACGCGGTCTTACAAGTAACCTTATCCTTCATCTACTGTCGTTAAAAAGTATTCCGCGTTTCTGAAGCAAATTCTTCGCAAATATTTATAAAGTTATCCTCTCATTTCTTAAATAATTGACACTGCACAGCAGAAATACGGGATATTTTATCAAAGTGACCCAATGAAGTGTTGTTCTTCGTTCAAAGTGCTCATGTTATTTAAACAACATGTTGTATTTTAGCGAACTGTGGTCTATTCCTATTACAATAAATATCTCCCTCACGTGCTCCAAAAAAAAAAATGAATTTCCTATAGTGATGAAAAGAACGTTTTTGATATATGTCAAGTTTGCTTAAATTCTCTATATTCATGTAGCTATTGGATACCAAGTTTCCAGTTGTGTTATTGTAACTACTGGATACCAGTTGTTTTATTGTGATTCTGCTCATTATAAATCGGTTGTCGAGAAACTCAGAATATGTGGTGACCATAGGAACTTTTGTATTTGAGCTCTTACATTTGCTGGTTCCCGGTACCGAAGTGTTTGTGTATGTCTTATTAAATGTCGATTTTACGGAAAGCATGTCTTCTGTTTAGCGATAGTCAACGCTAACCTATGACAGTAATATTTCTTCTAGCTATCAAGCCTTTAAATATAATGTTTTTCATGAAAAAAAAATTAATACGATATCTGGTTCTGTCAAGAAATTAAATATTATTATGTCAAAAGTTTTCTTCGTATTCACATTTTCACGTCGCCCTAGTGTTTTCTTCGTATTCACATTTTCATGTTGTCCTAGCTTGCAATAGTGTTCCTCAGCATTAGACTTAACTTCAAACTATCTTTGCTTTTGAAAATTATCAATTATTTTATCATTCTCTCCTTTGGATATTTATTTTGTATTATTTTTGTGTCTTAGGCATTATTAAATAAAAAATAATTATCTTACTTGAACATTTGCAAATATTATTAAGTTTCTCCTTTGGATAATAATACTTATTAGTTTGTAACATTTGATATATTTTAACCACTTCATTACCACTATATATATATATTTTCATTGTCATGGCCTTTACAAGTTTTGATTTTGATCACTAATAATCAGACGTTTTGGTTTGACTCAGAGAATTACTTTGAAAAGGAAAATATTAAACTAATACCGAGCTCTTGCATGTTTGTATAATTTGAACAAAAGTATTTATATTTTATTTAGATCGTTACTAGTTCTTACAAACTAAAATAATAATGAGTCAGATGGACATGTACTTAATCCTCTCAATCTTAAGCCAGATGTGCATGTACTTAATCCTATCAATCTTAAGCCAGATGTACAAGTACTTAAGCCTATCGATCATGAGCCAGATGTACATGCATGTAATCCTATCTATCTTGAGTCAGATGTACATGTACCTAAAACTATCTATCATAAGCCAGATCTATATGTACTTAAACCTATCGATCATGAGCCAGATGTGCATGTACTTAATCCTATCCATCTTGAGACAGATGTACATATACTTAATACTATCCATTTTGAGCCAGATGTATATGTACTTAAACCTGTCGATCATGAGTCAGTTCTTTATGTACCTAAGTAACCTAGTAAAACATATAACAAAAATCGAGGTTTATCTTGAGTTTAGTTTCATGTTGATCTACCAGGAGTACTACTTTGTAATCTTTAAGCTACCTTTTCTATTATATTTTGTTAGAAGTTTTTCTTAGCAGGACATTGTTTTCTTAACGATTTTGTGTGTTGTCCTTGTATGTACATGTTCTTCGAACAGTCAGGTTTTATATTCGGTAATACCCTACCCTGCAAGTAAATATGTTATTTGTATGTATGCAGTATACAAAAACTTTAATAAACGGTGTTTGTTTATTTGAAGTTAAGCACAAAGCTACACAATGGGCTATCTGTGCTATGCCCGCCACGGGTATCGAAACCCGGTTTCTAGCGTTGTAATTCCGCAGACATGTAGCTGTGTCACTTGTGGGAGACAATAAACGGTGTAAACACAATTGTATACATAAAATATAGGACAATGAATATATCTAAGAACCTAATAAACCACGAGCTCAACTATGTTCATACCTTTGTGTAATCACCTGATAAGAAAACATTTATGTTCACAATTGTCAACCAATCTTCTGCGTGTTTTACAAGAAAGGTTGACTTAATAAAGAGCAAACCGTAAACCTGTTGAAATTCAATTTATCTTCAAAGTGCCTAAAAACAAGAATGAAATATTTGCGTTAGGGCAGCTAATTAAAATTAGAGTAAAGTCATTTGTTCCTCTTTGTAAGCGTAATTGTTTCATTACATTTATTTTGTTCTCATTCATGTCTGTAAGTATGAGAAACTTTTAATACTCATTAAACCTTATTTATTACCAGCATACCCCAAATAATGTTTACTGCATCTATAATATTATGATTAAACTTACCAGCATTAGGAAAACGATTAAATGTAGTGCGTTAGATGTACTTCAATTATCCAGAAAATAATATTTAATCTAGCACAGTTTTAGCATGAACTTCATCTGTACGATGACTGTTGTTGTTTAAAGTTAAGCACAAAGCTACACAATGGCCTATCTGTGCTCTGCCCACAACGGGTATCAAAACCCGGATTCTAGCGCTGTAAGTCCCCCAGACATACCGCTGTGCCACTGGTGGGCTCTACGATGGCCTTTGTTGTTGTTGTTTGAAGTTAAGCACAAAGCTACACAATGGGCTATCTGTGCTCTGCCCACCACGGGTATCGAAACCCGGATTCTAGCATTGTAAGTCCGCAGACATACCGCTGTGCCACTGGGGGACTGTACGATGGCTTTTGATTTAAAATCAGCTATTACTTATGATCTATAGTTAATGTATATAAAATATTAAACAATTTTCGGAATACTAAGTTTATTTATTATATCTGCTATTGAGCAGCTATATAATGTGAAGAACTGAATAGTGGCCAATGACTCTTTTTCTTCATTTCACCTATCCAGTGTATAGGTTTTTCTCACAATGACTATAAAGCACGTTCACACCAACAGTATGTTACATTCAGTAATGACTGTTATTAGTTTAGAAATTCGGTTGTCACGAAAAAAGGATAAAATTCTACATCCAAATGTAGTTTGTCTTTATAACCTGATATACATTGTAACTGATTTTAATAAAATTCTACAGTTTGTAGTTTGTCTTTATATCCCGATATATATATTGTAACTGATTTTAATAAAATTCTACATCCAAGTGTAGTTTGTCTTTATAACCTGATATACATTGTAACTGATTTTAATAAAATTCTACAGTTTGTAGTTTGTCTTTATAACCCGATAAATATATTGTAACTGATTTTAATAAAATTCTACATCCAAGTGTAGTTTGTCTTTATAACCCGATATACATTGATTACACTTTGGTGTTAAAACTTTCACACATTTATCTGATCCTTAGAAGTTACTTAATCTGTTTATTAACATTATTCCATCCATATGAAGCCGAAACGTTGACATAAAAATATCATGTGCGTATCTGTATAATGGTAGTTTTTAACAACACTATCATTCTTAAGATCGCGAAAATCAATAATCACCACTCTATTAAAATATTTTTCAAACATAAGAAATTTTAGATCTAGCAGCTATTGCATTTTCTACATTCCCCTCGGAATGGATTCACCAGATTTAGAGTTAATCACATTTTTTATGATTCGTTATTGCTTTGTTTTTACATCTTTATGAAATAGTAATAATAAAAAGATATTCAGTTTAACTTGCATTTCTCCAGATTTTCTTTATGATTAAAGTAGAACTAAGTAGCTTTCCATTAATAAGAATATAAATTTCTCCAGCTATTTTAATCATAAAGAAAATATATCCTTATTAATGGAAAGCTAGTTAGTTCTATTTTAATCATAAAGAAAATCTGGAGAAATTTAGCTAACTAGCTTTCCATTAATAAGGACATAAATTTCAAACTTTTCATCTTATCAAAAGATAATTTAAGTGAAACTTGAGTCTCCGCTAAAAAGCGGTTTCCTTTATAGAATATTACACGTAAAGATTTTCATGTTAACACATTTTCTTGAGATTCGTTTCCATTATTTATTATAGTTACAAATCCTCTAGGCTTACATAATATGGTAGACACTACCTAAAATAGTGTATCTTTGAGTGTAGATAGTTTAGGCCAGGGGTGCGGCATGGCCAGGTGGTTAGGGCGTTCGACTCGTAATCTGCGGGTTTGTTTGCTTTGTTTCTTCAAGTAAAACACGGCACAGTCTCTCTTCAGTCATGTTTTACTTAAACATTACTGTGTACACCCCTTCCGAAGCTTAGACTTGATTCGCGCCTAGTAAAAGTGCTATACAGTTTAACAAACTGATATCAGTTCTGTTATCTTTACCATTCGGCAAAGCAATTTTCTTGGATATAGAATTGTCCGTAAATCTTCCTTCTTGAATTATTGAGAACTTTATCTTCCTTGAGTTAAGGAAGCAACTTTAACGAAATCTAGGTATCTAAACATGCTGAATAGCATTCAAATATGTGCAGTTCTTTTAAGTAGCAACTTTCATTATATTGTGGTACAATTAGAAACTATTAAAGAAGCACGAGTTTTTTTATGTAAAATGTTTGTAGGGTATTTCACCAATCAACATGCTCCCTCAACAAGCGCCACCAATCACCATGCTCCCTCAACAAGCGCCACTAATCAACATGCTCTCAAAAAGAAGCGCCACCAATCAACATGCTCCCTCAACAAGCGCCACCAATCAACATGCTCCCTCAACAAGCGCCACCAATCAACATGCTCTCACAACAAGCGCCACCAATCAATATGCTCTCACAACTAGCGCCACCAATCAACATGCTTCCACAACTAGCGCCACCAATCAACATGCTTCCACAACTAGCTCCACCAATCAACATGCTTCCACAACTAGCGCCACCAATCAACATGCTTCCACAACTAGCGCCACTAATCAATATGCTCGCACAACAAGCACCACCAATCAACATGCTTCCACAACAAGCGCCACAATCAACATGATCCCACAACAAGCGCCACCAATCAACATGCTCCCACAACTAGCGCCACCAATCAACATGCTCCAACTTAGTAACAAATTACTTTCCAAACATTTTTCATTGGTCTGAAAGCTACTTCTAATCTTAAACGATTAACCATAAGTTTGTATAACATCCCTAACATGAACTTCAAACTAGAGGAATTTAACTAAATGTGCATATTCCATGAGGCTTAACGTTCTAATGTTTGTCCAAAAATTAGTTTAAAAAACACTATTATTTTATATATATCATACACATTATTTGTAATTAAAGCCTCCAAACTGATCTGTTGCCGTGATTGGTGGTCGACAAAGAACAAATTGAACTTTGTTATTTAATTTCTGTAGTGCGTATTGGTGTATAAAAGATAGATTAATACTAGAAATTAACTACCTTATAACACCAATATGTTGTTTTCATTTAGCTATACACTCAACGTTTCGCTTTACAGCTTCTTCAGGAGTGTTGACTAAAACACATACCAAAACTGACAGTACAAAACTTCAAATTGTTTAAATTATGTATTTACTCGCTACCACGAGTATATTTAAAAAATACATCAGGTGTAATATAGTACTCTAGTCCTATGCTTTAAGAATATAATTTTTGTAAGCTATTTGATTAGATAAAATAAACGTTTAGCTGTATTTTCCGAAATTCGGAATTTTTATGCCACTTGTGAAAGTACCAATAGGTTTAGGTTGAATTTCTGTATAAATAACGTAAGAGTTAAAAGTGATAAGATAATTTGTTTTTTTTTGTGTGTTGAAGGATATCTATGATTTGAGCTAAGATATATATTATACTGATCTATAAGAAATATGAAAGGCATACTTCTGAGGGGAAAAAAACCTGATTTTGAAAAAACAAAATTAAGACATAGTTACTCCTCAACGTATTTATAGGAATAATTGCAAGTATTATAATTATTATATCTCAACACTTTGACAGTAGACTACATGTTTCTTTTACATATAGTTGTTAGAATCATTCACAAACTATGCAATATGTTAATCGTTTTGATACTCAAGTAATGCGGTTTTTGATGTAGTAGACGCTCCTTGAATCCTGTATGGATGTTTTGAGGTCATCACACAAAATACTACACATTTTGAAGAGCAAGTAATGCGGTTCTTGCTGTGCTGTTTGGGTGTGAAATGTAAGTAACTGCGCATGTCGGTGGGATTATAATGTACAGTAGAGAATGTACCCTGCCAGAATTAAAAACAAAAACAGGAGCGTGTTAAGAAATGTGTACATAACGTGAAAAATGACTTGGGAAGAAATGATTGGATAAAGTATAATGTGGAACGTTGTGTTACATGGATAAAGTATAATGTGAAACGTTGTGTTACATGGATAAAGTATAATGTGAAACGTTGTGTTACAACCATTTCATTGTGCTAGATTGTTAGAACAAAGATCCCGTAAGTTCTCAAAGTAAATAAATATGGAGAAGTAATGAATATCGCCTTGAAGAAAGTCAACACCGAAAACCGAGTGAAAGTGATACGATTGAAGGAAGCCTAATTTAAGTTCATTAGTTCTACAGATAAAGAAGATTAAAAATGATCCCGCATTAATTTCTTCCCTATCTCAAAGCATAACTTTTAATTATCAGAAATATGACGAATTGTTAAGTCATGTAAAAAACAGTTTTGAATGAACTGAGAGATTAGAAAAAGTGAAAAGCTTCGTTAACAGCGGATATTTCAAACTTGAAATACAGACTTAACGAAGAACGAGCAGAACAACAAAATTGCAATCAAAACCCGGCCCGGCATGGCCTGGTGGTTAGGGCGCTCGACTTGCAATCTGAGGGTCGCGGATTCGAATCCCTGTCCCGCCAAACATGCTCACCCTTTCAGCCGTGGGGGTGTTATAATGTGACGGTCAATCCCACTATTCGTTGGTAAAGAAAAGCACAAGAGTTGGAGGATGGTGATGATGACTAGCTGCCTTCCCTCTAGTCTTACACTGCTAAGTTAGGGAGGGCTAGCGCAGATAGCCTCCGTGTAGCTTTGCGCAAAATTCAAAAACAAACAATAATCAAAACCTAGTTGTCATTAGAGTTTTCAAAATCATTAAAGACAATACAAAGGTAAATAATTAAGAAGATAGCTTAGACACGAAAAGGAAACTTAATGGGATAGAAACCTCGCATAGAACAGGTAAAAATACACAAATGGAAAATTTCCAAGTCCATCTTACAGCAAGATTTTGTAACAGGTCTGTTCGTGAAACATTTCATCCAGGTACGAATAACAAGATGAAATGAACAACGAAGGAAGTTAGACATTTTTAATGAACATCTATCACAGCTTTTTAAAGATGTATTTCATGAGACTAAGAATGTTAAAAGATTAAAAACATATAACTTCTTATGGTTAGAGAATTGTATAGTTTTATGAAAATCGAAGAATTTATCAATTTTATATACATTAGAAATTAAATTGATATCAAAACAATGTAACGTATTTATATTTTATTTTGATGAAAGTCAAACAATGTAACGTATTTATATTTTATTTTTGATGAAAGTCAAAAATGTAACTATTTTATTTTGATTTTGATGATAGTCAAAACAATGTAACGTATTTGTATTTTATTTTGATGATAGTCAAAACAGTGTAACGTATTTGTATTTTATTTTTGATGATAGTCAAAACAATGTAACGTATTTGTATTTTATTTTGATGATATCAAAACAATGTAACGTATTTGTATTTTATTTTGATGAAAGTCAAAGCAATGTAACGTATTTATATTTTATTTTGATGATAGTCAAAACAATGTAACTTATTTGTATTTTATTTTGATGATAGTCAAAACAATGTAACGTATTTCTATTTTATTTTGATGATAGTCAAAACATTGTAACGTATTTGTATTTTATTTTGATGATAGTCAAAACAGTGTAACGTATTTGTATTTTATTTTGATGATAGTCGAAACAATGTAACGTATTTGTATTTTATTTTGATGAAAGTCAAAACAGTGTAACGTATTTCAATTTCATTTTGATGACAGTTAAAACAATGTAACGTATTTGTATTTTATTTTTGATGAAAGTCAAACAATGTAACGTATTTGTATTTTATTTTTGATGAAAGTCAAAACAATGTAACGTATTTGTATTCTATTTTGATGATAGTCACAACAATGTAACGTATTTGTATTTTATTTTTGATGAAAGTCAAAACAATGTAACGTATTTGTATTTTATTTTTGATGATAGTCAAAAATGTAAATAGTTTCCACCATTTTGATTTTGATAATCTAAGTGATTACATTGAAATTGATCAGGGTGAAAATAAAATTAGTGAATTTTCTGGTATTTTAATATACTTTATGAATGCTAAGAGTCCAAGGAAAAGAAATATGGATGAAACTTGACATGAATTACAGTGGATACTATTTCATTTATTTGTGGTATTTGTAGAAATTTGGCTCAAAGGTAACGATTTAATGTTTGATATTCAAGATGACTCTGCAAAGGTTTTCAAATAAGCAAGAAAGAAAATGCGGAGGCATTTCAGCCTGTATTAAAGAGGAAATATCACTTGACGTGTGTCAAATTTTATTGATTTTGAATGATGATATTGAATTAATAGTATTGCGAATTAATAGTTTATATTTAGACTGCTTCTGTAGAATTTAAATAATGATTTAATTAATACACGAGACGTTCCTCAGTCTCTGTTCTGGGACCACTGATGATTTAGATAATACATGAGACGTTCCTCAGTCTCGGTTCTGGGACCAGTGATGATTTAAATAATACATGAGACGTTCCTCAGTCTCGGTTCTGGGACCACTGATGATTTAGATAATACATGAGACGTTCCTCAGTCTCTGTTCTGGGACCACTGATGATTTAAATAATACATGAGACGTTCCCAGTCTCTGTTCTGGGACCACTGATGATTTAGATAATACATGAGACGTTCCTCAGTCTCGGTTCTGGGACCAGTGATGATTTAAATAATACATGAGACGTTCCCCAGTCTCTGTTCTGGGACCACTGTTGTTTTCATTATAGGTTAATGAGGTTACAGATTTATCATTTGATGTAAAGCCGATTTTACTTACAGATGATGCTATAATTTCAGCTCAAAATAAGAAATTAACGTATTTAGTTAAAATGGTAAACTTGTTATTGGATAAGCTAAATTATTGGCATAGGGATAGTGATTTCATTTAAAATATTGAAAAGACAAAATGTATAAGTGTTCACAATAACACAAAAATACTACATATATATATATATATATATATATATGAACGAAATATTTCTTGAAAGATAGCTCCCCAGTAGCACAGCGGTGTGTCTGCGGACTTACAACGCTAGAATTCGGGTTTCGATACCCGTGGTGGGCAGAGCACAGATAGCCATTATTTAACTCTGTGCTTAACTACAAACAAGCAAACAAATTTGAAAGATATTCGTCGATCAAGGTTTTGGATATTATAACTGAGTATAATTTAAACTGGTTTGAACACATAAGAACTGTTAGAAGAAATAGCTGTAAGACGTAAGTGTAAAATACACAGATTAATTTATAGGTAATGCCTGATAACTCTTTTATTGTAGTATATTTTTGGGAAGACTTTCAGAATATAATACAAATATTTTGTTTCATTTTCCAAAAAAAGATTTATGAGAGTTATTTTGAGTTTAAACTATTAGAATTTTCTGAATAAGTTATATATAAGCTAAAAATATTCAATAATTATAATATCAAATATTATCTAGCTCCCCCAATGGTAAATCTTAAGACTTACAATGCCACAAACCAGCCTTCGGTACTCGATATGAGCAAAGCACAGATAGCCCATTGTGTAGCCTTGTGTTTAACAACAAACAAAAACTATCATCTAGTAAATGATAATAATAAATAATTAATTAATATACCCAATCTTCAGAGTTGTTTGCTATAAAATAACATCCATACTCATGATGCGATAATTAATGCTGATTTACGCCACTGTTTAAAATTATTAATAAGTCTGTGTTAGCTACACTATACCTGTTGTAGTCCAATGCTAGAGTTCTTCATGTCGGCTGGAATAGTATTAAGTTGATG